GAACAGAAATGGGGACCAATAAATGATGGAATTTCTTTTATTTATTTATTTTATAAATTTTAGAAAGATACAAAAGGTCAAAACTGACTTCCAAAGAACCTTGTTGAAATAAGCAGCTGAGAAAAAAATACGTTCCACTCAAACCTCAACTTATCACAAGCCAACATCCTCCTTTTTGCATTGATTCCCGAGGAGTGGGTTTGTAATATTCATGTAACTTTAGCAGACGTACGCCGCTCAGTATTTCACCGTGTCCTCGGCCACGGTGAAATTACCCTAACGCGCCGTTTAATGGGAACGACTCCCACGGCCTCCTGTAGCGCGGTGATAGGCTGCCGGTAGGACTGTGTCATCTGCATACATTAATATTTATGAGCGGCAGACAGTCAAGAGGTGAGACGTTCCTGCTCTCTCTGTGCTCAGGCATGCTGGGGGAACGCTGGAAGTTGCAGGAGTGAGGCAGAGTTTAATCTAGTGAAACGCATGGCCATTAAGCGCCTTAGTGACAGAGAAATAATAGCCTTTTTTTAAAAAAAGGGGGGGTGACGCCGTGACCTGTAACTGGGATGTACGCTACAAGCTAAAATATGGTGACTGGATGCACTCATGGCTTGGTGTATGTGTCCAGTTCATTACGCAGGAGTCGCGTTGCCAGATGTGCTTCCTGCGGCTGCACAGAAAGYCTTTACAAACACACACTGCTCACTCTTAACAACATCTGCTGCTGTCATTAAAGAGTTAGCTTCTGCTTTAATCATAAGCCATTATTTGAGTCCTTGCTTTGGAAGTGAGGACTGCACGTCGTGGCGCACGCTCGRCGCCATCCGGTGGGAGTGGGAGAAGTGTAGAGCGAGGCATCTGTTTCCCCCTTTCTGCATTTCCATCACCTCCCGAAGAAATAAAGAGTTTGTCCTCAGAGCGACTCCTTGAACTCAATCATAACGTGACGGAGGAGTGGCGACAGTAAATTGAGCCCAGGATGTGGCATTTAAGGCTGCACAGTTCATCTGTATCAGCGGCAAAGTAAAAAGTGGAAATACGGCACACATAAAGCTCTGATGGTTCTGTTGAAGTGAATGATGATCAGTCTGAGATTATGCTAACAAGATGTACGACGAGGAGCAAAGCAATGCAGAGGGGTTGTGTTTACAAGCAGCTGGGTATTTACTGGATGTCAAAGCAGGATGATATTACCTGTGCAGTAAATTAGGATTAGGCTGATGAAAATAATAAATCATTAAACTTTTCTTGTATGTGTGGTTATGGTTAAGTAGGATTGAAGTATTTCAACTCTATGCTATTTGGAAATATGCTAGTACACTGAGTAATTTAATGTAAGAGAGAAAGTTCTTTTGAAGTTTTTATTTTTTTGAAGTGGGGTTCTATGGAAAGGTTATAAACAATACTACCTCACCTGTTGTAGGTATTGTAACTCTTTGAACAAACTCATTTTGGAGAAGAAGTTTAGTTGTATACAGACTGACAAACTCATGGAGTGTTGAGTGATACTAAAGGGCTCGACACACGGGAGGCGACGTCGCTCGCTCTCCATTCATTTCCTATGGAGCCTGTGCGGTGAGGCGACAATCGCTTGCCCTCCTCCAGCTAAGCAACCGGTGAAAATAGTGCATGTGAAATTTCACGCTCGTACACGTAGACGTGCACACGCGAGCTTGCGACGCGACATATGAAAGTTGAAAAATGTTCAACTTTTGTCGCTGTCGCTTAGCGTACAACCAATCAGCGAGGGTTTCATTGACTGACCAATGAGAGGAGAGTATGCTACACACTGCCGTTAGCTAACACTTTCACCAAGKGATTACTAAAAAGCTTTGTGGGAATTTATTGGCACCAGGGTGAAGTTTATGGTAAGTTTTTCCTCATAAAACTGTATCTTGATGTGTGTTTGTTTTTCAACATTAGCATCGCAAGATTTGTTTAGTTTACACGTCCGTAATGCACACCCCCTTCAGAGTCAAGAACCAATCAAATTTTGTGAAAACAAGCGACCWGAGAGCGCGATTCGCAACGCTGCGATCGCTTTCGCGTCTCGTGTGTCGGGTTTTACCCTGGCTGCGATGACAGCCGTTAATCGCTGTAGTTTGTCGCTGCCAGAGTGCCGAGCCCTTAAGGCCGAAGAGTCACGGTTTAGTTAAAAACCTTTTTTTAGCCTTTAAATTAGATCAAGTTTATATTTAGTATTTTGATTATGTTGTTTACCCTTAACCCCCAACTCAAAACCAGCCTTTAAACTCACAAGGACCGGGCTTTTGTCCCCATACGGAACAATGGGTCCTCACAAGGCAGTGTGTACTGGGAAAATGGTAAAAAATTATCTCTTCTTAGCTGCCTTGCACTAAATGCGAGTGTTTTTTTAGTGTATGATCATGTGTTTCTGTGTGAACATAGGATCAGAGCATTTTTTAACTCATCTTTCCTATTGTGTGTATTCCAAGCTTTTTAAAGGTAGCACAACCCCAACTGGTTGCTGCATGACCTGAACGCCTCTTACCCCATGTTTTTGTCATGTGTGTGTCTTCTTGAATGGATGTTCTTAAATGTAATTTCATTGTGCAAACGATGACAATAAAGGCTTTCATCATCATCCCCATCAGGTAACAAAAACACACACAAAACATGTAATCCAGTAATACAGATCAAATTGTAAGGGAGATCAGGGTTAGGCTGTAGAAAATAATGGAAGTCAATGCAAAGTCCCCATAAAGATAGTAGTACTAGACCATGTGTGTGCATACCCAGCTCCAGTTATTGTCTCACAGTTGCTGATCGCCAGGCTGACCACCTCCGTGACGTCCACTCTCCCGATGGCCGCGGCGCTTCGCTCGCTCTCGTAGTAACTCAAGAAGCCACCCTCCAATGTACACCAACGACGYGCCATGTCTAAAACAAACAATCACAGAATGTCAAATCTTACTATTTTAAGAAAGAGCAATTAACTGTCTCTGTTGTCTGAGTCACTTTCATATCACTTTTAAACCAACATGGAAATACGAAGTCTCCATTCACACATTGCTAGGTTGATTGGTTTACCCAGTTGAATTGCTATTTCATAATGGTTTGATTTTAAGGGCAACACTTAAGTCATTTTGGCAGCAATGCCATCTTAGCAAACTTGTTATTACAACTAGTGAGTAATCAGACTTTTTCTGGTGTTATTGAAAACCTTTGGAGACTGTCACGAATGGCAAGATTGTTCTTCTCTTGTAAACGAGCACCAGATGCTGCCAYGGGACCCTCCCCATCTTACAAAGGCAGCACAATCTTTGAGCATCAGACCCTCCAAGCTGCAGTCAGAACTGGAAGTGTTCAATTTCATTCAAAAATACTTTATTGATCCCAAAGTAAAATCACCGTTTGGAACAACCCATTCAAGAGAGAGAGAGAGAGAGAGAGAAAAAAAGGAAACTAATACATAGGAGAAGATGTGCCCCAGGTCCTGCAGCCATGAAGAGGCTCTACCCTTGCATTAAAAAAAACAATGAAAAACAAAATAGCAAACATGAAGATAGTGAACTTATCAGCTGCTGCTCTGCTGCGCACTCATCATCATCATCATCATCATCATCATCATCACCATTATCAGAGCGGAAGCCGACTTTACATTAGCAAGATGGATTTACGACTGAATGAATGTCCACGTCTTTTTTTTTTTATAATCTCTGTGGTTAACAATACATAAAAAACAAGTTTTTTCTCTGACAATTGGGTGTGAAAAACTACAGTTGTTAAAGCTTCACTCTGCGCGACGTGCAGCGAGAGGAGAGGAGAGGAGAGGAGAGGGAGGAGGAAATGATCCCGTGACACAACGTAAGTAACTTTTCTACAGCGGGAGGAGGGAATTTTGAGGATTTACTCTCTCTATACATGTTTTAAAACACTAGAATTTCTTCATTATATTTGGAACTCCTGCTAAGTTGTCTCTGCACTCGCAGCCCTGTTCACACAGGTGCGATAATGTAATGACAGGACGGTAGAGTATAAATTTCTACCGTAGGCCGACTTCATACCGTTTCTACCGTCTACCGCATATACCGCACAGCCCTACCTTCTGCATAGAGCAACATATACAGTAAGCCAGCTAAGGCAGTGAGTTTAGGGGTGTGTGTATCTGAAGCCATGGAGTGTTTTTTGTGTGTTTTCATCTGTGATTAAGACTGTGAACAAGTCCCCGAGTCAACCTTCAACGTCTTCACTGGAACCTCTCAATGGCAAATTTTAATCATCCAAATTTGGTGGTCATTTTCTCCTCACCGAGCGTAAAACTTCTCCAAGATCTGACTCAGCCCCGCCAGCGTCCTCGAGAAACACAGCTGGCCTCTTACCCTAGGCAAGGATTGCCTCCAGCTTGTGATTCTGCTCAAAAAGCATCCGAGTCTGAGAGTTGACAGCTTGGTATATTCCATCACAGGCCGGGCAGCCTCATCAAGGCCCAAATAGCTGCCGACACTTTCCAAATTTCACCATAGGCCAGGTATCCACCAAGTCCAATAAGCAGAAATCCTGCTTTTAATAATCCAATTATGTAAACATCTTTCAACATCCTCGACTGACAGTACAGACATGCACATTATCTTCCACTCACCCCAGGATTCCATAACATGCCCAACAGCATCAGGACAAGAGGACTCCCCTTTGCCCGATCTTCTCATGGAGAAAATTTGATCAATAATGTAGAGAGTAGGCTGACCAGATTCATAATTTCCAATTTGGAAGATATGGAAGACAGGCACCGAAAACAGCAAAGCAGGGTAAATAAGGGAAGGCTGAAGAGAGAGGGGAAATACGTCAACCTTTGCTGAGAGCAAAAAAATAAATAAAAAGTAAAAAAATCCCGCCACTTCCAGAAAACCAACTGTACAAAATCTCTCGTGACTGTTCAGGTACAGACAGTAAATCTTCATGCTTTATTGTAACTATGCCGACTATACAGTTAAAAATAAAACCAGATTTAAGAGAATAAACTATTATCTAAAAAAATTAACAAAAAAGGTTACTCCAGTATAGATCACTTTGGCAATCCTAAGCCCAGAGAAAAGAGTAGGGTTGGAATTGTAACGTTGTTACTCACTCTTTATCTAATTCATTGTTTTCCCTTTCTCCTACAGAATCCATGACAATTACACACATAGCCCATTATGTAAAAAAATATGATGTCATTTTTAGTGACTTTAAGGAGAACTAATACCTGTTTTCTTTGCCAAAGAGTTTGCAATACTGCACCTTGGCAACAAAAACGAACACTGAAAATTGGTGCTCTAAATCAGTGGTTCCCAAACTTTTTATCTTCTGAGCCACAAAATATTCATGGCAAAAACTTGTGACCCCAAATATCACTGGTCTGAGTACACAAACTCTGTTAATAATCCTAAAAACACAGGTTTTTGACTATCTAAACAGCTTGTACACAAATATAAATACTTATTTATACTTATTTTGTGTTTTTGTAATAATTTTATGGAAAATATTACATCAGCAATTATTTTATTACCCTTTAAATTGATTTCTGGAGATTTTACAAGGTGCTTCATGACCCTTAATTGGGTCCCAAGCCTAACTTTGGGAACCAAATTTGTGCAGTGGTTCCCAAACTTTTCAGCTTTTGACCCACAAAATAACAGTAGCAGAGACCTGAGCCCCCAACTGTTTTTGGATGATAAACATTTGTATCAGGTCAACTAAACATGGGCACAGTAACCATATTTTTTTATACTACATTCATCCATTTTAAATATACTAACCTCTCCTAACAACTATGACAAAAATGTAATTAATTTGGAAAATCTTTTCAGGACCCCACCTTGATGTTTTAGGACCCSACTCTGSGTCCCGACCCCAAATTTGGGAAACACTGCTCTAAATGGCACATCCCATTTTGCCAATCCACCTCTGAGGTTTTTGTGCTACCAATGTTGGGTAACGTAAGTAGCATCCAAAATTAAGTTTTAAAATATAATAGCCAACAAACAGATGAAGACCAAGAGAGCTGGTAGTGACTAACATTAATTTCCACAATTACCAATTCTGAAGTTTGGTAAAAGCTGCAGCTTATACGTTCTGTGTCCAAGTCAAAAAACGTAAATGTGTTTCAATCTGATGACTCACACAAAAAAGGATTACTCAATTTTCAATCAGTCATAATATACTCAGTCCATGAACAAATGCATAAACACACAAACAAGAACTAAAGCAGTTAAGAAACTCTGAGCAGATTTCAATCAGCAAACATCATCTCCACGGAGAAGCTGGAAAACACACAACGCTGTCTTTTATGACTGTCTGACTGTGTGATTTACATAGCCAATGAGCATGAAGTTCATGAAAACATACCTAATTTTGGATTTTCAAAGTCACAGTGCCATCTGCTTTTTTTTGTTCCGCAACAAAYGCACGCACACAAACAGCTTCCCACCCCACACCCCCTGTCGCTCGCGACTCCAAAGTTTCCACCGTATTCATCTCATGAATATGCTAATTGTGCATTCCTCTGCCAACTGTGTGTGATGTTTCTAAAGGAACAGATATAGTTCCAATAAAAAGGAAGTGTCGACAACTGGATGTAAAAAAAAATAAAAAAAGGAAAAGGATGTGATAAGCTTGGAAAAGGAGGATGTCAGTTTGGCTCTATTCACCCTTCTGCTGCCACTTTTTACAGCTTTTTCTGATTCTGTGTTCTGTTTATTTATTTATTAAGCTATTTGGACAATGAAACAGCTTTAAAGAGACAAAATAATTAATTTTTTTCCTTCCTTGGCATTTAAAATAATACTCCCCTCTGACCCCCACTTCGCTTCAAGAAAAAAGATAAATTCAGCCGTAGATTCATCGTCTTCGTTTACCCAGTGTGCATGAAGAGGTGTATGCGAGTGTGGGATAGAGAGAAGGAGACAGAGTGTGGTATTTAAAGCTATTACCACTCTGATCTGTCTGGCAGGATATAGTGTTGTCTTGGTAATGGAAAAGGATGGAAATACACTTCACTTTGGTTTTRAATGTATCCCTGAATCACTGCAGTTTTGCAGAAAATGTCATGTCCATCATTTTTCACACAACGGGAGATGGTGGCATTCTTGATTTATGCCACAATTCACTTTTTGTCTTCATTCACTTTTTTTTAAGATTTTGGATAGGGCAATTGGTAACAAGTTATTTTTAGAATCAGATGCTAAACATTCCTTTCAAAACCACAATAAATTTTCTGACACTTCCTGTTGGACTGTCTCATTCCATTCCACTAGGTTGTTTACTTTTATTTTGAAGGACTTTGTGTGAAACCGGAAGTAACATTGCAGAAACCAAAAGTGACTCTGTCGCCTATAAAAGAAACATAATATTTACAGTTAAATACAATGCTTAACATGAGTTGTTTGTTATTGCAATATTAAACATTTGTGTTACTGTAGATTATTTTTTGTGTCGTACACAATCGAGAAAATTAGTTTTTATTGCATGAGTGTTCTGGGGAGATTAGCGTTATGCTGGGTTTCTAGCTTAGCAGCTAATTAGCACAATGCTTACGCTTGTTTCGTGCACATTTGGGAATATTTTTGATATGGTATTGACTAATGTTTCAAAAGGAGTAAATTACAACTTTAGTTGTAATTTCTTTATAAAATTTACTTTGAAGGTCAAATGTATGTTAATTTGTTTGAATGTTAAAAATGACTCGATGTAATTTTATCTTTTATCTACCGTGTGTTTTCGCTGGGCAATAAACAACTACAGCTATCCTTGTGTCATTCTTAGCACTTCCTATTACATAAAGTTTGAAACTGTAATCACAATTTTAAGTGTTAACTGCCCTGACTCCTTTTTAATACTGCTTTGTTCAAACAGAATAAACAGCTGGGAAATGGTTCTCTTATCTTTGATGTCTCACATGA